TGAGTCAACTTTGTCAAAGGAGATGCAATAGACGAGAACCCCTCAACAAACCTTCTATAATAACCAGCTAAACCCAAGAAACTTCTAATTTCAGTTGGAGATGTGGGTCTAGGCCAATTTTGCACTGCCTCGATCTTTTTGGTATCAACTCTATTCCCATCACCGAAACTATGTGGCCCAAGAACGCAACAGACTCAAGCCAAAACTCACATTTAGAGAACTTAGCATATAACTCCTTATCTTTCAAAGTCTAAAGAACTATTCTGAGATGGTTAGCATGATCTTCTTCGTTCCTTGAATAGATTAGTATGTCATCAATGGAGACGATAACAAACAGATCTAAATAAGGTTTGAATACTCTACTCATAAGGTCCATGAACATTGCAGGTGCATTAGTCAAACCGAACGACATGACCAGAAACTCATAATGATCATAACGGGTCCTGAATGCTGTCTTGAGAATATCACACTCCCTTACTTTCAACTGATGGTAGCCAGATCTGAGGTCAATCTTAGAAAAACAAGAAGCACCCTGAAGTTGATCGAAAAAATCATCAATTCTAGGAAGAGGATACTTGTTCTTGATAGTAACCTTGTTCAACTGATGATAATCTATACACATCCTAAGGGAACCATCTTTCTTTCTCACAAACAAGACCGGAGCGCCCCAAGGTGAGACAGTTGGTCGAATAAAACCTTTATCAAGGAGATCTTTTAACTGCTCTTTAAGCTCTTTTAACTCTGTTGGTGACATTCTATATGGCGGAATAGAGATAGGACGAGTATCTGGAAGAACATCTATACCGAAGTCTATCTCTCTCAGGAGGGCCTCCAGGAAGATCATTTGGAAAGACTTTTGAAAACTCTTTTACTATAGGAACTGATTGAATGAGAGGTATCTCAATACTTGAGTCATTAACTCGGACTAAGTGATAGACACAACCTTTAGAAACTAACTTTCTTGCCTTAAGGTATCAAATGAACGACCCTTAGGCACTGTTGAACTATTTTTCCACTCTAAGACTGGTTCATTAGGAATTTGGAACCTAACAACTCGAGTTCTACAATCAATTGAGGCATAACAGGCATGTAGCCAGTCCATACCCAAAATGACATCAAAATCTACCATGTCTAACTCAATTAAATCAGCCATGGCGTCTTTGTGATTGATGGAAATGACACAATCACGATATACTCGCTCATCTAGAATAGACTTCCCAACAGGTGTAGAAACACAAAAGGGTTCACAGAGTTTCACAAGAAGAACATCAAACTTATTTGCAACATAAGGAGTTACAAAAGATAAACTTGCTCCTGGGTCTAGCAAAGCATAAACATCAAAACAAAGACTTTGATCCTGCCAGTGACAACATCTGGAGAGTTCTCTTGCTCTTGGCGACTAGTGATCGCATAAAGACGGTTTTGCTCCTCCGCCAGTACCGGAAGTAGCTCCTCTAGTTGCAACTGTCTGGTGGAGCAACTGATGAAGATTGGGCTCTATTGCCCTGATTTCCACTACCTTGCATGTTCTTTGGGCACTCTTTCATGAATTGACCCTTTTGTCCACACTTGAAGCAACCTGTCTGGCCATCACGACACTTACTTGGGTGGGTTCTACCAAACCTAGCACATGCAGGAGCCCAGTTACCTCCTTGTTCCACACTACCCTGAGACTGTGCAGGTCTAGCTCTAAAGTTCTGCGAATTCTGGCCATTATACTCACCTTTGTTTCTGGGTGCAGGCGCACTAGCAGATGATGGAGCAGGTCCCTTTTGCTTCTACTGAAAGGACGAACGGTTCACATTACCTTTTTGCTGCCGAGACTCATTCCCTATTTTAGCTTTCTTATTTCTGAATTCCTCTCTATCCCTCGGCTTCTCTTCCTCAACCTGCTGCACATAGACCATCAACCTTGATATGTCCATGTCCCCAGTTAACATAGTTGCCTTGCCCTCTTTGCTTGATAGACGGGACAACCCAGCAACGAATAGGCTCATTCTACTCCTCATATCTGCAACCATCTCTGGAGCATAACGGGACAGTTGGGTGAATTTCAATCAATACTCATGAACACTCAAAGAATCCTGCTTAAATGTGAGGAATTCTCGTACCTTAGCCTTTTTCAGCTCTCGTGGAAAGAAC